GGATATGACTGTACCAATTGTCAGGGATTCTCCTTCTGACTCTGAGCTGAGCTGATCCTCTCTTTGGAGGTGGACATGCCTTTGCTTATGCTTCCCATATCTTCTGGGTTGTTGTGGCTTATTCTGGGTAGGCTGAGGTCTGTTTTTTGCTCGGCACATTTTCCCCCAGTGGTTTGGCTTGCCGCATGCATTGCAATTAGATCCATATGCTGGGCATTTGGCCCTGTCACCAAACTCGTGTGTGTTACCACAATATCTACAGCTCTTTGTACTCTGTTTGTACGTCTTGTACATGTGGGGTTGCTTCTGTTTGGACCCTGCCTGGTATGTCTTCTTTGAGACTACATCTACCCTATTACTGCTAGACGTGCCTGTCTGCATGGATAGAGAGGACATCTGTTTCTGGGTCGCTTCAAAGGCCCTGGCTGTGTCCATGGCGTCCTTCAGTGTCAGGTCAGGTTTCCCCACGAGGGTTTTCTGTACTTTCTTATGTATGCAGCCCCAGATCAGTTGGTCAACTAATCTGTCCTTTATTTCTGCATCGTCTTTGAACTTGCATTTCTTTGCTACGTTTTTCAATCTTGCTATGTAGTCATCAATGGGCTCGTCGGGCTTCTGTTGTATGCCCTGGAATTCATACCGATAGATCCTATGGTTTGTTTTGGGCTCCAAATGTGTTTCAAACTTCTCTAGGATTTTGTCTGGCTTCTTAGCGTCTCCCGCGTCTTCTCCCGTGAATTCCCAGCTGTTAAATAAGTCGAGACCTTGGGATCCAACCCACAACAGAATGTAGCTCACCTGTTGCTCTGGTTCTGTGTCTTTCAGGAAGCTCTTGAAGGCCAGTTCTGTTTTCTGCTTGAATTTCTTGTACTCTTCTACTAGGTCATCGGCATCCCAGTTCATGGAGGGGTGGAGGTGTCCGTTTGCTGCTGCCATCCTGGGTCTGTTTTTCCGAGGAATGCCCTGGCACAGTCTTCTCTCTTCCTCTCCCTCTTAACAATGGTTTACCGCTGCCACCATGTTGTGCGTTCTTGTCTATGGATGGCTATCATAGACGCTCGATTCAAGCAGATAGATCAGTCGGAGTGAGAGTCGTCTTGAAACTTTATTCTACAAGTACTCCAGATGTTCTCAACTCTAATGTCCCATGATGCTTTGTTCACATATATTATGTAGGCAAGGCCCTTGTGGTGTATAGTACTTTTGCCTGATGGTCTAGGTCATAGTATCTGGTACAATGTATAACACCTACATAAAAGGACTGTCAGCTAATCATGCGGCACCACATGACAAGTCTGTCGTTGGTGAAACATCGCCCGGGTCACACCCCCGTACCGTACCGTACCGTAGCAGCGTGCGGTATGCTAACTAACCACCGCCGCGGCTGAAATTTCATAGCTGCACAGGAATGGGAAACATGTCCACTATTCACCATTACCCAAAGTGAGCAGACGGGGGCTAGGTTTCTAGCCTCAACAGCAGGCTTTGTTGCTGGAATATTTTTTAAAGCTTTTTATCTTATTTTATAATCCTATATCATCTCTCTGATTGCTACCGAGTTTCTGACTGTCATAGTAAAATAACAAACATCAAGGGTGATAAAAAGAAAGATATGCATTCAGAAAATCCCCCTAAAGAGTCCAACAAAGGCCTTTTACAGAGGCTATTCCTACTAGCCTTTATGCATGTAACACCAGCCCTACTATAACATATGCTCTGGTCATTTAGTAAAATATGCTTCTCGCAGCGCCACATCATTTCAAAAGACAACACGGCGTGTAGGGAAGCTATATTACATCACACTGGCACTTAGTCGATATCATCTGGACCCGCCGCGTCAAGAAAAAACGAGACACTGATTAAAACCCTTCGGCAGATGACCCAGTCCCTTTGGGAGGGGAGCTTTTTTGGACCGTTTCCAAATAAATGGCTGAGTGGTTCATCCAGTAGATAGAGGTATAGATCTCGACAGAACATCGCAGATATTCACAGGCGCGATGCAAAGACGTGAACCGTTGCGGTAGAACATATGTCCACATGTACTTGGACAAGCCTTGTGAATAAAGAACCGGCCGCCCTAACTCCCTATGTGCGGTATTGTGTCCACGGTTCGCACGGTTTGGTGCCTTGTGTTATTGTTTCGGCCTCGCCGGGCTTTACCTATGCATACACACGGACACATCGGCCTTAAGGCCCCGAGAAACAAACACAAACTCACCGGTGGATTCCACGGGCTTTCCTCTCCTTTCCTGTCCTTTCCAACCTCTTCCCTCTCCAAATGTTTGTGCAGGTTGTTGATCTTGATAAGGAGGAAATACATGAAGGGGCTTTAAACCATGTGTGTTCCCGTACCGGCGTTCAACCCAGAATAACACTCAGGTGGTGCTTCAGGCGACGTCATGGGCGATACCACTTCTGCACGGGAGGGTGTCGCGATGACGTCATTTTTCATAAGTAGCCTGTACTATGTCTATGTTTTATCTTTTCCTTCATACACATGACTATGCTAATTAGATACGTACACGAGTGTTGTATATTACAGTTAAGTGATCGGCGTATGCGTTGTTTTGTTGATTTTTACGGCCAGTTCCGGTGGAATGGAACAGTCCAGAAGGTTACACTATCATTTTACGGGAGGCTATGGTATGGCCGAATCGCGATGATGTCATCACGCTCGACTCTCCCAGGTAGATAAACAAGGCAGGTGGGTAGGGACGCCGGAAATGGCCGGCTGTTGAGATCATTTTCGCTTCAGCGACTTGTTATTCCTACAAAAATAAGGACGTGTTGGGTTGTGTTTGGTATAAATCCTTCCTATTTCATGGTGATTTTACAGGATTTTGCCGCCATTTTCTCTCAGTGTTGGCCACCAAAGTCCTCCCAGATGTAAGAATAAGGAGAAGACAGAACCTGACCGAACCAAGAAAGTCTTGGAGAACTAGGTTGGAGTGAAAGACTACGACTCGCTAGCCAACATGCTAAGGGACTGGGGCGACATTCTGAGGGGCACCTAGAATATAACGAGGACGAACTGAACTGAAGTGAACTGAGTTTTCCCGCCACTTGAGGTAAATCCTCGGGTGTTGTACCGTACGGTGTCGCCGTCGTCCCTCATACCTGTCAATCAAACGTGACGTATGACATCATGCCGTCATGGGACATTTAACACACATGTAGGGGCGTTTCGCTTTCATAATAGCCCCTACTCTCTCTATCAAGGGAATTAAACTATTATTCATCCCATTTCTTGAATCCATGTACTTTATACACATTATGAAATCTGTTGGACGCTGTATCAACTCAAAAATACCATGATGTCGATAAATTAAATTATTTGCTGCGACTTAGACGTCTTTAACAGAGAAACATTCCAAGTTAACCCATACTAGTATTCAGGAAGCTCACAGTCATTTTACCAGCTTGAAACGCAACCCTGCACAGCGATGTTATCTCAAACAAAATCTAGGTCATTTTGTCCTAACCTGACCCCGTCTCTAGATAATCAGATAAAAGTGACCTCCAGAGTCGTAATGACACTGATAATCTCCAAGCAGATGCAACAGTTTTTTACTTGTTCTGCACGTCTTTTGCCTAAATTGATGCAGTTTCGATGGAAAAAAAACATACCACTGAAAAGACGAGTAAAAAGGGTGCTCAAAACGAGCCAAATCCATATCATACGCTTAGAGACATTTCTACTTAAATGACGTCATTTATTACAGGCATGAAACAATAGTATATCCTCCCCTCCCTTGAGAATAACGCGCCGTCCCGTCAGTCACCCCCACCATCACCCCCGTGAGGTTAACGAACCGTCCCGTGAGTTCTACCCTTTGTCAGTGAGCTATTAGCTGACTCATCCGAGGCGCACGTCTGCAGGTCTGACAAATGTTACCTGTCTCAAGGTAACGATTATGGAGAACATTTTACTTACCTGACACGGACGGCCTTATGGTGCGTGAAATGCCCCATAGATCTATGTCAGGTGTACAAGGCGTTACAACATTTATATCAATTAAACATCGGAGGATAGTACGTTAATAAATGCCCTAAATATGTAAATTACATGTATGTAGAATAGATTGGTGAGAATAGATAAATGGCAGCGGGCATCGACGTACAAGACGTTCCAACATTTAATTAAAATAAAAAGCAGAGAATGATACATTATTGTGTGAATAACTTGAATATGTAAATTACTTATATTTATTTTATTTATTCTTTAATTCTTAAACTACTTGTATATAGAATAGATCAACAGAAAAAAATGACAGTCGGCATCAATGATGATATGAATCTATGTCAGATGTACAAGACGCTATAATATTTTTTTCAGTTAAAGATCCAAGAATGATACGTTAATAGCTACCTTAAAAGTGTAAATTAGATTACAACAGATAAATGACAGTAGCCATCAATGTGAATTTATGACAGATGTACATACATACATACAGACGTTCTAACATTTATTTCAAATTTATTTCAAATAAGAATCGGGGAATGATATTAAATAAATACCTTAAACATGCAAATGACCTGTGTATAGAATAGATTCTATAGGCCGCTGCTAGAAAGTCTGCGTAGGAGGCTAGATGAGGAAATGGTTTGTCAGTGTACGTATGAATGATTTTGTACAAAACAGCTAAAAATAAAGAAGAAGAAGAAGAAAAGTGAGCACGACCAAATATGGAGAGAGAGTTAATGAGGAAAAGCCCGTCTTCCTGCCTCGAAACATGTAAATGGGAAAGTGAAAATGTTGTCAACCACTTTCGATCGGAACACCTAGCCTGGTTACTAAACCTATTATAGCTCCCGAGTCCTACATCCTCTATTTGCGGAGAGGGTGTAGGACTCGGGAGCTATAATAGGTTTGGTAACCAGGCTACGAAACACTAGCAAAGAACCAAGTACTTTTTGTTACCACATATCTTATAACGGAGACATCGAACATAACTTCATCGCAAATCAGCGCCCCCCCCCCTCCACAAAAAAGAAAAACCGCACATGCAAGGTCTACGTAGGAGGATATTCCGCTTTGTCAATGAAATTAGATATGTTTTGTTATGGGCGTTGCGTCAATACAAGATTGTTCTAAATTCGTTTTCTCAGGGTAGGGTCTTCCTGTTGAATGGGCAACGTCACGTAGCTTAGGGTGGAGACACATTCTTGTGATTTTACGTATTTTAAGGATTAGTGTTTTTCGTACATAGTTGCCCACACCCACATCCTAATGAAGCTTATATCAGAAATCGATGGTAATTTTGCTATAGAACTGTCAGTTACAGTGACAATAAGCTGACTTTGCAGGAACAATTCTGAGCGGATATCTATTGATTCCTGTCGGATTAGAGAGGGTTTACAGTGTTAGTGTGGGTGGAAATGTCCTAACGTCGCCTCATACATTATCATTAGACGTGACAAGTTAGTCTGGAAATCACACTTGGCTAGTAAAATTAAAGTGGCGGCACGGTCACATTCAGTGAAGGTCGCCGTGCGATTTTAAATGCCGTAGAACGTTCAAGCAGACTGTGACAGAACAAACGATCGGCAATGATCCAAGAGTACAAAGGCAGCCTCTACGTAACGAAGCTTTTGAATGTCGCAATACATATGCACGACTATCCCAAGGATTTCCTAAGTTTATGCCTTCGATTTTGAAAAATATCTGTTCTTAAATTTTCTTCATGACTAAGAAGCGAGAAGAAGTCGAATTCACTAATAGGTTGTAGTTACTTGACAATGTATATATGTAACGTCATCTGTAGACTATTCTTCTGTTTTGACCTGTACTTAACCCAGTGGGTATGTGTATATAATGAAGGTCTTCATTCATTCATTCATTCATTCATTCATTCATTCATTCATTCATTCATTCATTCATTCATTCATTCATTCATTCATTCACTCACTCATTCATTCATTCACTCATCCATTCATTTATTTATTCACTCATTCATTCATTCATTCACTCACTCATTCATTCATTCATATGATCGCATGACGATAGTGCAACAAATGTGACTAGGCGAATGTAACATAGTGTAACTGTGAATTCAAATTAGGGCACACTGTTTTAATTACTCGCTGTTCCTTTGTTACAAACCCACATAATTACAGACTATTTAAAGTGTGTTTTCCCTCGGGGTCCACACCTGTGCAGCAGCAAAACTTACTAAAGCGGACAATTTGTGTCTGTCAACAGGTCTGACCGTGTTGGTGAAACATTCCCAGTAAACCACAGGAAGCCTGACATGGGACAGAACAATGTGTCGTCTCGCCGAGAACACAGCAGGCGGAGTGTACAAAAGACGAGATGACATATTATCTGCAGGTAAAGTCTACTTACCTGTGCTGGGAAACAAAGCTGGGTATTGTGTGAACTGTTTGTTCTACTTCCTGTTGTGACTCGCTGTGAGTTCCCGAGACTTTCAACCGTGGCGAGCAGAAGTTATCAATCTTCTTCTTCCTCTTTTTTTGCACAGCAAGGCATTCACACCTGAAACGTTAACCCGTGCAACATCTTATATATATAGGTTATACGTTATTTATTTTCATTACATATTATTCAGTGTGGTATTATGGGCTTGACTGAAAACGGCTAAAGATGCAAAACCCAACCAACACATATTTCATATTCATGACTTTTCCTTATATATATATATATATAGTATGAAATGACGATAGATCTGCATTTACCGTTGTGTACGTGTTTCAATGTGCTTAGTGTGATTCCTTTAAATTTTCTACAAGCAAGGACGTTAAAGCTCCTTGCTACAAGTAATATATCATGAAAACTATAGCCCTAAGACAGACGAATGAACCTTTCTTGTATCGGGTTCTAGTGCATTTTGAAGGCTCCATATTGCCATATGACACATTGCTCTTAGACGACGTTTCCCCGTTTTGCTTTATAGAGCGGCTTCCCTAGCCTTTCGCTCTACAGTAATGATTAAATCATGGCTTGTCTGATGTTTGATAGAACTCTGATTACTGGCGCCCCCAGGCGTTACCACAGCACTAACCAGGCAGACGGGGAATTGTGTCGGTAGTATAGGGACCTTTCATAATTCATTTCCGCCATTTTCCTCTCTAGACTCTACAAAGATCGCGCTTGTATATCAAGCCTTTGTTCTTACACGTGCACCCAGACCAAACCATGGTGGACAGTCAACTTAACTTAACATGTTGTTTTCTCATATATGCCCACGGGAGCAGTTTTGAAGGTTTTGTCTGTACGGCGTTTGTAATATCACATGTCACCGCTAGGAGTCGCTGTAGGCAAAGCGTGTCTTAGAAGAAGTTCAAGTGTGATACTAACGCAAATAGCTACATCAGATTTTATCGTTTTAAAATAATTAAAGAGGGTTTCTGTCACTGATAACTGCAATCACTTGACCTCGAAGAACCCAAAAAACTAAATGTTTTTTCTGTGCTGCTTTGGTAATACCGCGCGTCACCGCTAGGGGTCCTACAAGTTAAAGTAGTGGTGCATGTACCAACGCAAACAGTTACACCAGGTTTTATCGCTTTAAAATAACGAGGTTTTCTGTCACAAAAGACTTCCGTCTCACTGTGTGGCAGACCTCCCACGAAGACCTGGAGCCTCGCCACTTTGGTGGGGAAGAGGGGAACATAGGAAACCAATTCGTCACGTTAAAGGATTCGCATTGGAGATTAACTTCCAGCACAACTTTCCCTTTGAAATTTTGCAGTCCAAATCGTTCTGCTGCACAGTTATAAAGAACAACAATCTTTATTGACACAACAAAAGTACAGCGACTTTCGTAAGGTCTAAAACTATACATACAAACATGGGTGGATACAAATACATTAACCTACATACATGTATGAATAAACCAAATGTTGAGATTGACGTATAACGTATACTGCTGGTTCTATGGTCTACATTTCCTTGCTAGGCCAGGGGAGTTAGCAGGTCCAACTTGCCTGCACGTACCCTCTATGTCCGGCGAACTCCCCTGGTCAGTTACATTCCATTTTAGGCCGATCTCTACTATTTATTCAGCCTGCAAAGGAGTCTGGTGGAGACCACCACATACCGGCACTGTTACGGTGTAAGTAGCTTGACCGTACTTGACCGTACGATCAAAGGAGTAGAGATTACCAGCAGGTGTTCGAGTGGATTTTCCAGCTTAGGAAGAGGCTTTGCGGTTTACGAAAGGATCGAAAAATATACAGAGAATATTGTGAGAAGTCCAGGCTTCCAGTTGAGATCGTCTATCAAGTACACATGTTCTCACACAACTACGGAACTTACTACTAATACTAGGTTTAGATGGAATTATTCAATATTCTTTTTAGTCATGTAGTCAGTAAATTTCCCCTTTTAAACTAATGGAAAGAAGGCCCTTCTGAGGAATGTGTCTCTTGACCACGCTGTTGAAAAGTAAGTGATCTGTAACCGAACTTTTCAGCACTCTTTGAGTCAAATATTTATTATACACGTAGGCCGTGTTCAGACTCCATAACCATGTTTGCTGTGATATGTAAGCCGTCCATGTGTATAACCTTGACCCAGTAGGAAGCAAGAGCTCCATGAAATACGACATATCTTCTATACCTCTTCCCACGGACATGGTACATGTAGAATGCGTTTTTATCATGTAAAATAAGAGTAGAGTATCAAAAACCTATTGTTTGTAAAGCTGTATTTTATCAAAGCTAGATACAGTTTGACTTCATTTCCTGATAGAAGTGTTAAACAGGAAAGGGGCTTTACATTTTCAGACTCTCGAAGGTTTTGCAGTTTTCAGGGCATATGCAATCCACGGTCAGTATTATATCAGTATCATATGCTGATAACTGCTGAATGTCAAATGAAAAATTGATTTCTCATATTGGACATCGAGATGCCATAGTCATAGACTTAAGTTAAGGACAGTATGACAGAAATGACTGTCTATACGTAAGATGACAATCTTGGCAAGCATAACTGGTCCCTTGGTGTAGTGGTTATCACATCTGCTTTACACGCAGAAGGTCACGAGTTCGAACCTCGTAGGGGCCAATTTTCAAGTTCAACCTTTTGGCAACTTTTCGCCCGGTTTGTTTTGGCGCCAAACCCTTGTCTCACACCTTTGCTCAAAATCGGTACAAACGAGGACTCGGTTTTTCGTGAAGAAAAAATTACAACGAAAGTACAATAAGTCATAAGGTCCGTCATTAGCCATCCTGGCACTTGTAGTTTGCCAGCGTTTTTATGCCCTTGACTTTGTGTATGACGAACTACACGTCACGTTGCCATGACGACCGCATTCTTGGCGGGAACAGTGACCCAGTAACCAGTCGCGTGCGCCCCCGTCATTTATTTTTCCCTGACAGAATCATGGAAGCTTCAAAACAGATGCACAACCTCGGGACCCCTTCATGATAATGAGTTCTGTCATTTTACATTATCTGTCTCGTGTCATAGGACGCCTTCTATGGATTTTTTTGGTTCATATTCGTGATTGTTTTCAAAGGGCATTTTCAAAGTCATGATCAGCAGCTATGACGTCACTAGATCTGTGATATTGTCATGAAAGTTCGTCAGTGTTGGTAGTTACATGTTCAAAATTAAATTTTGTTTCTAACACACAATTCTATTGAAGAGGACCAGATCTAGAGTGACTGGTCTAGCCTCTGTACTGTGTAAGCGGTGAGTAGCTGTTTCTTCTAATCTAGAAAACAATTGTACTGATCTATTCTGCTACAATTATAGTTAGATCCTGTACATCTAACCTTTTTCATCGTAATTGTACGTAGGTTTCACTTCAGACATGTGGATGACAGATCTTTGTGCCAACCACTGTTGGCACAAACGCTAGTGCACCACCAAAGCCGAGACCGGCATATCGCCAAAGCCAACAAGGCCAACGCCGTACTAATGTCCTCTACGTTTTCACCTAGGCCACCAAGGTGATAAGAATACACTTCAAAAATTTTAAGTAGAAACACTAGACTAAACACGTGTCACCCTGCGTTCCCGGTATCTCAGGCCTCATCAGGTCGAATACTACTACTGTGTGACGCGACCTATGGGGTCTTGCCAGGAAAGTCATCTCGGTCCCAGAGTCCCATGCGGCTGTGCTGCGAATTTGCTGGTGTCGTCTGCGCGGAGCGTCATTTCTTCTCCCGCCAATTTCTCGCGAAGCTTATCTCAGCAGGACGGCTGGCTCAGCGTACGCCGACCGGGTACAGAACGTCACAAGTACTGAAAGGTGGGTGATAAGAACCTTTAAGTCCTTCTCTGTCAACTTGGCAGGCTAAATACGAAGTTTCAAGACCTCCGGGCCAGTATGGTATAGCGAGAGTGCACAAAGCATAGGTAGAGGTACCAAGCTAAGAAACGTATGATGAGGAAGAGTGTTATGATTTGGTAGGCATTATATTCTGTACAGTGTGTTCTGACAAGAGATGCTTGTTTAGAAGAGCCAAAACTGAGGGAAAAGTTTGTTTTGCTGGTAGCACACCTCACTACAGCATGCAGAGGTTGAACTGAAGTCGCTATTTGAGTTATAAATCGTTTGAGAGCACCTAAAGTTCTAAACATCCCTCTGCGCCACTTTAATTGTGTCCGTACCAGTCTACGGGATCCCCCTGAATATATATGGCTGTAACTTATTCGGCTAATTGGTCCTGTCCTACCTTAGACCCAGATGTGCCCTTTGCCAATTACGACAACGGTAGTGCAGAGATCATCGGCGAATGAGGAGTGCTCTGTGGGTCTTTTTAAACGGCGTATTTAGTGTAATGGTAGCCAGACTGTGATAGCAGAAACACCACAGGTGTGACGCGGCTTAGTCCTGCCACGCGTCCGCTACTGGTCCAAATAGATGGTACGATATGCTATGGCATTGCTGCACATACTAGTACTAGTACATGTACTAGTACTAGTGCTCTCCAAGCAGAGGTTGGTGGGGAAGATTTTGACCTTTCTATCATATGCCCAATTTTTTGGTGGGGGTAGACAGAAAATGGGGCATATAATAAAAAGGTCAAAATCTTCCCCACCAACCTCTGCTTGGAGAGTACTAGTACTTATTATGTGCCAGGTATCACTGTAGCATGTGTGCAAATATGCATCTATTGAGATCATTCTTATATCCTCTTCTAAACTATAGTAGGTGCAATAAGCGTGTAACACCATATGAATATAGATATAATTATTTCCTGGTCCATAGCATATATAGATTTCTTACATTTTGAAGTGTTTCTTAACGATAATTGTCCCTATACCGTGCCTTACATTGAATTTTGGTGCGTTGTTAGGCGCAATGTGGCAGCGACATATTTATAAACGTAAGCATATTTTATCCATTGTCTAGATGTGGTGTTAGGTCATTTTTTTTCTATTTTGACCGCTACCACCATAGCTGATACATCAACGAAGAGGCGTCCTGATATACTTCCACGGTCGTCACCTCTGTTTATCAATATTTACGTCTCAGATTTTTTACTAGATTCCCCCTGAGAGACACGTTTATTTCCTTTTCCCTTTCCCCTACCAAGACGAAACGAGCTCGAAAGTTCTCCCACTTAAAAGTAGAAGTGTCGGCTTGTTATCAGGAACATGTGCCGCCGGGCAAAGGTTGAAGTGGCAGTGGACTAAGAAGAGGAAAGGGATGTTTATATGCATGTTGCACTCGCGTGTCAGCCCGTTGATGGTTTGGCCGTAATATATGATTGTTGACACTGCGCGGTGGATACAGGAATGTGGTAACGACTCTCTGGCATCGGGATATGCCAAGTATTGTTTGATGTCCGTGGTTTAATGATGACCGCATTGGGATAGCAAGTTCTTCTGTATTTGTACAAGAAGTTATCATTAGACAATATCTAGGTCATTTTGTTTAACGTCTTATGAGTAGGTCAAAATAGTTTGAAAATAAATTCCTTGGTGCTCACGCAATGTTTATAAAAGAAATAACATTAAATCTGCAAGATAAGATATAAAGTTGAAGTTCCACACAATGTCCTTTCAAGAATTTTAGTCAAAGACATCAGATTCACGACTCAGATTTGTTCAAAGTTCTACATTATTCAAATGCCAAAATTGTAATACCCGTCAGCTTCTTATAGTTGCTGGTGTTATGGCTGACTTAACTACTTTTTTCACTTTTGTAATGCATTGATCTAGCATAGAAAATATCATTCTATGCGAGTTTGATTTTCAGATCTAACTTTCTGATGATAATAGCACAGGGTTATAATATCTATGGGAGAGAGTGAGAGTGAGTGATAATATCTATATTTATTCCAAACCTCTATGTACTATTCCAAAGTTCTATTTGAAAGCTCTATGTATTCTAAAGTTCTATCTAAAAGTTCTATGTATTCCAAAGTTTTATTTAAAGGTTCTATGTGTTCCATACTTCTATTTAAAAGCCCTATCTGTTCCAAAGTTCACCGGCCCTTACATATATCAACTCACGTCCACACACACAGCTCAAACATGCCTGGCGCAGTGACCTAGCACTGTTTACATGGACGGTGAGATGTTTTTGGTCAAACTGAAGATGGCAAGGCGCCGGGCATGTTGCTTGTCTGTCAACAGCTCCCGGCCACTGACGGCCAGACCACACTTCTTGGCGTACGTTTAAGTATCCATGGATGATATTTTGGACAGGTTTCATTGTTTCATTTAAAAAAACTGTGGCCTTTTACTAAAAAAAAGTTGTGACATCTGACACTTATTACCCTTTTTTCAATATTGACCTAAGGAAAAATCTGTTCTTGTACACCAAATCTTCGAACTTCTTCAGAAATACTGACCCACTAACTTCTGTCACGTGACGTGTTCTAGCCAACTGACCAAGTAAACTGGGTAATATATTGCATAAAGGACATCACATTTTCAACCCATTGCAGGTACATCTACGAGTACATGTATATTAGGATCCCTTCTATTAAAACACATTAATAGTTGGAATCTTGCGCGCGTGCGGCACGCGAAGAAAACTAAAACTTCCGGATGCGTTACAAGAATATCAGTTCTCCATACGAAGCAACTTAAAAGGTTGAAAGACTCGTGTTTTTATAGGTGTTTCGAGTGAAAAGCGGTCCACTGATTAACAGAAAGGTCGGAACTCTGACACACGCTGACAAGGCGATATCCGAGGGGGTTATTTTGATACTTTTGACCCAAACACGTGGCAGAGAGAGACTATCATACCCTCCAGGCAAACTGTTGTCCACCATGTGTTTCAGAATCCAACTCACCGTTCAACCACCCGTGAAGAATGTACGACACGTTTTCTGGGACTACTGGGTTTAATTTGTCTCAATTACAGCATACTTCTTCCACCCAATTACGTAGGGAATCAGCTAGCAGTGCATGTATGTGTGATATACCTTACATATTAGTCAGTGGATATTTGCTCTCAGGAGTTGATGGTTTGGAAATGTGTCTTGACACGTTTTCAGGGACAACTGGGTTTGATTTGTCTCAATTATAGCATTCTTCTCTGAACCAATTTATGTAGGGGTGTAGATAGTACAGCTTCGTCAGTGAGGGTTTGCTCTTAAGAGATAATGGTTTAAGAATCATTCGCCTTAAGGCCTTCAGGGAACATCGTCTTTAACGGTCTCCTTTTAATCTTTGTGTTTTTGCTTGCATGTTTACTTAAAAGTTGTTGTAAAGTACATGATGCTGTCCAGCTTCAATTTTAGTAGAGTGCTACTTTAGATGCGATTTAAGGTCTTGAAGAGAACGCGTTTAATTTCTTTCATCTTGTACATTTCTTACACATCCCATCACGTTCACTTACTGGAAATGTAACTTTCTGTCTGGTAACAATTTAGACCCAAAGCCTCCCAAGATGATCACCAAGTAACAGTTCTTCTCCGAGACCATTTAAAGTAATTATTTGTCCATAATTGAGGGCGGTGTTCTATTCCCCGCCTTATGAATAACTCCAAGACGTCTGGAAGGAAAATGAGGGAGAACACAGGTCTTAAAGTAACAGTTAATGACTCAGCATGGGACAGTGGGAGAGTAACCTATGAAGGTCATACTATACACACCGGATATTGGGCGCTTTCATGGCCGTCTGTGTTTCTGTGTCCGTCACAGTGTTCTAATATATATTTTTGGACATATCTTTGGAGACTAGATGTCGTATACAGTATTTGCTTTCAATTTAAAAGAATGTAATACAGCACCATGACTCTTCACATGTATAAACACAATCCAAAGCCTTTAGGTATGATAATCTTTATTTGCTTGTTGTTACCAATGAGCCATGGCAAAATATAAACAGACACAGTGATTAAATCTAATGTGATTTCCACAAATAACAACTGAATCACAAAAACAATCCGACATGAGTACATACATAAACAACATAAGGACAGAACCAAGGTGATCAATGTGTGTTTGTAATGTTCTTTGTCCTCAGATATCCTGTCTGCTGTAATTGCTTGTTATCTATGAGTGATATACAAGGTGGCCTGCACAGTGTAAGCGCATAGAATAGTGATCATTAGTGGTCCTCATATATATACAGGGTTCGATTAGACATAATGGCATGTATTGTTAACGGATAAGTAGGCATCAACAAGCTACTTCCCGTGTGTTTCTCATAGTAGACATCGGCTATAGCTAATCTAAACCTATGCCAATCCTATATGCAAGCTGCTTTCGGCTTCACAATACAAGACTGTTATTATGTCATTTTACACGTTAACCAGTCTATCTGGACAAATAGCTGTTCTCATGAGTAAGCAAAACAGAACTGCCTTGTCTCAAGGATGCTATTTGACAGGTCATCTCCGCACCTCCGCCGTGTGAACACGCGTGTACAGACCACTCACACATGGACAGTGTCTTACAACACAGCAACATGCAAAACACAAAACAACCCGAGATCTTAACCAGACCCAATAGTCTAGTCTTACTTTTAAAGCTATTATGTATCTGGGGTACGTATATGAATGTTACTCATCCAGGAATACAATACTTACAAATCTTGGCCTGGTTAATGCACTGGAATAAGGCAGGGTTGCATTGTCTCTGGGTTGGTCTTAATGTGAGCAAACTAAAGAGATAGAAGTCATTGATGCAACGGCAAATTTCGCTGAATTACACGTGTACTCTGTATACGTTGCTATAGTCTACACCAAATTTCACTGCTGGCTGACAAAAAGTGTAGGAAATGGTCCATAGGCGGTTGTGCACTCTTGCAGCTATAGCCAGCCAACTCCTATGGTAAAATACTGA